CACACAGACACTCACACACACTCTCACACAGACACTCACACAGACTCTCTCACAGACACTCACACACACACTCACACACAGACTCTCACACAGACACTCACTCACACACACACTCACACACACACACACACTCACACACAGACTCTCTCACACAGACTCTCTCACACAGACTCTCTCACACAGACTCTCACACACAGACTCTCACACACAGTTTAACAGATATTCACACTGAGAACAGCTGTGTTTAATGGCAATAATATTGCTGTTGTGTAAAGTTACTCTCTTCTCATTGGTGCTGTTGTTGTGCTCCAGGTGCTGTCCGACCCGAAGCTCTACGCCTCCAGTACTCCTCACTGCTGCATCGTCGCCGCTGACACTGCTGTGGTTCTGTTTGATTCCAGCTTTCAGACGGTCCTCATTCACCTGTATTTTGGTAACACAAGCTCCGTTATACACAGTTAACATTTACTGTTCACAGCAGTGTTTACAGATAAGGGAGACCTATCTCTTTAACTTGTCTTCTCGCGCTTGGCTCAGACACTGTGGTGGATGCAGTCACGGTTTGCCCCCAAGCGCAGTTTCTTCTGGTGGGAGAGAGGAATGGAAGTCTACACATCATCTATGTCCCTCTGAAAAAGACCGTGCTGACCAAAGTAAGTGCTCACCACACCTGAAGAGAATGGTAATAATAGCTGGATTGGCTCTAGTAACACAGAAGTGTTGTGTAACCAGACTCTGCTCAAACCAAACCCCTCTGATGGTGCGGAGACCACCTTCAAGAGCCTAATCCTGCACGAGACCCCTGCTTCTGAAGGTGAGCGTCTGTAAAAGCGGAGCAGAAAAATAACCATCTAAATATATGCTGTATAATAGACATGGCCACTGACAGTATTATCATAGATTTTATTATCATTAAAACATGTTTTGTGTGTGTTTCAGGAGTGTATGATCTCTTTTTCATTGTTAATGATGGTTTCCTCCACACATCCAATGTTGCCTTGGGAAAAATACAGAGAGCCATTGAAAACATGGATCTAGTGGCCTTAAATAAGGTCGATGCTTCATTTAATTCAATGTTTTTTGCACATTTCTTTTATTAAAGGGCTAGTTCACCCACAAATGAAGATTCTCACTTGTTGTTCCAAACCCATAAGAGTTGTGTTAATCTTCGCAACACAGAGTAAGATTTAATGGGAAGCCCATTCCCCGAAACTTCGATGCTTTAAATAAGTTCTTAAAAGCATTGTAGCAGTGAAACCCAAGTGTTCTGGAGAGACACGATCACTTTATCCGCTTTATTTTTGAAGTAAGAACAGGCTATTAGCAGCTTGAATGTGTTATTTTTAGTGAATACTAAACAGCTCGTTAGCTGCTTTATATGGCAAGCAAGATCTCTTATCGTATTGTTTTAATGTATTGTCGAAACACAGGTTTGTGACGCAAATAATTTAGCTGTTTGCTGCACTCTGTTTTTCAGGTGATTTCCCGATAGTGGCTAATGAGTCAGAAGTGTTGCTCGTTATCAGTACCTCTGTGATGCACAATACGCTGGATATGATGAACAGAAACTAACTTTGATCCATGCATGAGCACACACACACTTTCATGATAAAGCGAGTACGGTTCAGCTGCTATTGACCATATCTGATGGGCTCAGTGTTTGTGTTTTGATCAGTGTTTATATGTGAATAAAAGCCCAAGTTAAATCTGTTTATCATTTGACGTGATGGTGTCTCTTCTGAAGATTTGGGTTAAACCACGCAGTTTATATTTAGGTGTAAAAGTTTTGAGGGAATGGGCTTTCATTGGAGGGACACACATCTCTCAGGTTAGAGAAAAATGTTTGTGTAGTATTAACTATATCAGATGATATAAATATAAAAGACATATAAACGTCCCCTTATCTTGAAATCTGGGGGATTTCTGAATGTATTTTAATAGAGTAAATCCCGCAGTGCAAGTGAACTCTAATGTGCTCGCGCTCTATAACCTACATCTCGTGGTGAATGCACGCTCTCTCTGGGTGTGGTTTTAGCAATATACTTGATAATGTCAGAACGCATATCGTTTAAACAACAATTACGATATTATCATACACAATATACAGTATATCGCACACACTTAGTCTGATATAGATGTTTCTCAGTCAATCAGCAAACAGAATATGTGCATCATAACATCTTTCAGAGAAAAATACATTGACTGCATACAGGCTTAAATGCAAGAAGCTTCATTTCCAACGTGATGCATGCTAGATTTAGATTTTTCATATATAGACCATAAATAGGGCCCTATGAAATCCATTTTATTTTTTCCCAATTTTTCCATTTTAATTTTTATTTTTTTTTCTGTTTTAACTTTTCTGGACTCTTTTTTTTTTTAAATGGTTACATTACATTTTATCAATCAAAAATGTGTCTGTTTAATTAATTAAAATCATGAAACTTGTACAATTTAACATCAGTTTATTACAAGTTTAACAAAAATTACATGTTTAGGGCCCTGTGAAATGTTTTATTTTTTCTCACCTTCCGTTTTATTGTTACCAAATTCTGTTTATGCATGTCTTAATTATTTAAATGCATAAAAACATTTTTTTTACAATAGCCTATGAAATAGTTTTTTTTCCCCCTCAGAAATTCTGTGTTTTTTATTTAATTTTTTCTGGTTATCAAACGAAGGCATAAAACATTATTTCAATTAATCTTTTAACCAAATAAAAATTAAACTTTTTAATTTTTGGCAAACAAAGGGGATTTACTATTAACATTAAAACATGAAAGAAATATTGTGTAATTATTCCTTAAAAAATAAAGTTTTAATAATTGTAGTAGTAGTAAGTGTAGTATTACGTTCATTCTACTGAACAACCGTAATATATTTCAGGCGCAATGTCTTCAAATTATATAGATCAGTGGATACAAGGCTAATTGGTTATTTTGCTTCTCTTTCAGATCCAAGATGATATTCTTATGAACTTCTGCTCAACTACAGAGATTCATGAAGACGGCTGCAACTCGGCGAGTCTGCTCTGTTTGGGAAGCACAGTCCACCTTCTGATTGGAGTAAGTTTGATGCTGAATCTCCAACTCGTGATTTTTATTGGAATTATTAGAAAACATTTAATTTCTGAAAGGAAGGTCAGGTGTTACAGCGGACAAGAACACCGAATGCAGGGTTTTCTGGGTCAGAAATGGTCTTCAGCGGTCATCCACACAGTAAAAATAACTCGACCCACGTGATCTTCCAGCCCAATACTGACAATACATCTATAATAAATACAAAGACACCGTTTGTGATGTTTGCTTATCCTGTTTATTCATGAAATAAAAAACAATCACTGTTCAGGACAGAAAACAAAGTGCTTACAACTACTTTACATGTAAACATCACCATTACCAAAGTAGTTAGAACAAAAAGAATTGCTCATTGTTTTATTTATTTATTTATCAGTTTTACAAGCTCTTCCAAATTACTTTCACTGTCATCCTTTCTTGCCCTCTTCACAAAAAAAGCTGGGATTTTCCACTGGCCTTCATAGCTTTGTACGATAAGGTCCTTCAATTATTTTGGTATATAATCATATTAATATTACAGAGTAGCATTAAAAATGTTTTTAACTAAGTCTAATTTTCTACCCTATACAATGAAATAAAATCAGCAGCTTGCCTTGTGCTTTGGTCTGGTTTCACCTCCAGTCTAAATGAAATGATTTTATCGGTAGTTTACTGCACATTGTCATATAAATAACATGAAAATACTAGTTTGTCGACCGATACTGTTTTTTTTGACAGCCGATATCTTGGAAAGCAGGGTGGCCGATATAAAGCCAATATAATTGTATTTAATATTTAAGAAATTTTAAATAATTTGAAAATGGATTAAAAAATAAATGTGTAAAATAAACATGCTTATACTTTAAATGACAAAGTATTTTTCACAAATAAACAAATATCTAATAAAAATATAATTAAAAAGGAAGCACTCAGTAATCTGGGAAGTTTGTGTGCATTGGGAATAATATTTTTTTCAAATAAAGCCAAGGTAACACTCATTTTACATTCAGCACACAGTGGAAGTTACATGAATATGACAGCGGGCAAAATCAGGAGTTTAAAGTTATTCGATCGCGCGTCTCAGTGATGCTGCACTCTCGACCGTCACGCAGAGCACACGCAATCATGCGGGTCACATGCACACGTCACAAGGTTTGTGAAATTAGGTGTTCATTAGTTATTCCCAGATATGTTTAAATGATATAAATGCGTATTTGCTGAATGCTGGCGGCAAACGAGACAGTATTATAATGTTTGCCTTTCTATTTCTAACAATATTAAAGCAATCGTTATAATACTTTTTTTGTATACATTTTAATTCCTTTGTTTAACATCTCTATCTGATTATTAGACCGACTTCTATCCGTATTAGACAGAACTGAACGACGACGGCGAACAAGAGGGAGAAAGTGAGCACTGTGTGTTCAGACGCGGCTACTCTCAGCGCCGTCAAAATAAAAGTCGATTTATCGGCCGATGCTGATATTTGAAAAATTATATATCGGTCGACCACTAGAAAATACTGTGGATTATTAAGGCTAAATCTAACGAGCCACTCTTGCCGCGTAAACACACTTACGATCTGATTTGTGAGGTGTTCTGATTAAATGATGTGTTATAAAGCGATTCAGACGGTGATGTCTCGTGAGTTCAGTGTTGGACAGATCAGTTGTTTTAACCATTCATTCAAATGAATCGGGTCAAAGGAGTCGTTAGGTTGTGATCGGACATTAGCAGTGGGCGACGTGTGCTAATCCTGGCTGTACATCGCAAAAGATTTGTGTCAACACGGAAAAACGCTTCATCACTGCACAGGACTTTTATTTGTTAACTGAAAGTGTGGTTTATGTCAGCTGCATGTGCAGAACGCTTGTCAGAGAGGATCGTGACAAAAAATTCTCTCAGTGAGTATTGCAAGAACTTCTAAGTACTCTTCCTCAGATTTCTTGATCAGAGACCTAAAATATGAAAAATCCTGTATAATTATTTTTTCAAAGTAAATTTCATTAGAGCTCTTCTCATATGTATATAGCGAAGTGAGCCCAACTCCACTCATCCAATCTCTGTAGAGTTATAACAGCTTACAAATGGTGAATGGATAAAAGAGTGTGTAAAATGCAAATCTTCATGACAGGCTGTTGGTGTCAGTGTTCTGTCACTTTGGACCATGGGCCCCGAGCAGAAATCATTGTCTCTCACAAAACTCCTCGACTCTGCTTTAATGTCAGGTACGAAATGTGTTCATACTATGTTTACATTTTATTATTACTAAATATGGTGTATGTTAAAGCTGTAAAATGTTCTGTTTCTCTATTCAGAGGTGAAGAAGATTCAAGTTGTGGATAATTTGATGTATGTTCTGAACAAAGAGGTAAGAGAAAACTGCTGTTGATGCACACGATGATGGACCATTTTTCTAACCTTAAAAGTGTGCATAATAATTTGTGAACTTCTCAGACTTAATAAGTTCAGCTCTTCTCGGGGTATTGGAGCATGATCACATGGAAGAAAATTCTAAAAGTTAAATGCAATTTTTTGGCACACTTTGACGAGTCCAACAGCCTTTTAATTACCAATTGGAACAGACCTAGATTAAAGTGGACTCAAACCTGGTCTCAGTCCACATTCCATTCACACTGGTATTTTTAGGAAGCCAAACAATTTGAATATCATAATTGTATTTATTATTATTATTATTTTCATAAAAGACAGAAATATTGTTTTAATCCTATCTAATTTGATCTCAAGGTCCCCCCAACGTGAAAGATCATTGTTTTCATAATTGATCGTTGCTGCCACACTGAAGTTCTTATCCCTGGTAGTGTCACAATACCAAAACTACGGCTTCGGTACGATGCCTGACTAAAATATCTCAATACTTCTTCTGAACCGATACCACGACAAAAAATACTAAACAACAGCAAAAGAAATTGAACAATAGATGACCCACACATTATAGTTATGCTTAACTTAAAGTTCATTTATTTATCTATCAATTAAAAAAAAAAAAAACTGGAATCTCTCACTTGACCCATGTGTGCCTCCCTGCTTTTTACGCATTACTTCCCCCTTTTAAAATATATGCAGGACAAGGAGAAAATATATGCAGGAGAAGGAGAAAATATGTGCAGGAGA